TACACTTTTTTTCTTGTTGCGAGTTCATCAGAGCAAGCAGCCCAAGGTATTGGCTGTTATAATGATTAATAGAATTATTGAGTTTTAAAAAACAAAGTTTACAATAATAATAAATGAAAAAAAAATTATTTACCGCTATGCCCAAAAAAAAGACAAACACTGAAGCTAAAAATGATAAATACGAAATAATTTAAAGAATTTTAAAATACATAAATGTAATATATTATTTAATGGATAATTATCAAGTATTTCTTAGCACTTGAACTATTGCCCATATTTATTTTACTTGATATTACCTAAAGTATCGGCAGCTAAAGTGGAGGCATTAAAATCATTTTGTAGTACTACAAGCGCAGGAACTAAAAGTCTAAAATTTAAATTTATAATTTAAATATATAATAAATTTTTATCATTTTCTTTTTTTATTTCAAAGCTTGAATAAAATATCTTCCATTTTGTATGCTATTAAATATATTTGAAAAAAATTGTAATTCTATACAACTCGTGACTTGATTGGGTGATCATAATTTATAGTAATTAGTTCTTTATCGATTCCGAATTAGAAAAGAATCAACAAGAATAGAATTCATTTGTCAAAATATTTGCAGGAATATGAAAGAAAAAATCAACTTTTATGCAACCTTACTTTTATTTTATTGACTCAAAATATACTATATATGGTAATTAAAAAAACACTTACGTTCCATCGATTGATGTTGATAATGCAGAGAAAGTTACTATGGCCAAAATAAATCCTTTTCTTTTTGAAGACCAATTCTTTGGATCATCGACATTATTCAAATTTTCGCTTATTATTATACTTTCATTACCTAACATTTTTTATTAGAATGAATATTGAATTATTGAATTAGATTAAGTTCTCATATTACGTATATTATTTTATTGTTATCAATTTTAATCAATGAAAAGTTAATAAAAAAAAAAAATTTACTAATTGGGTGAAAGAAAAAGTTAATTATGATATCAAATAGATATATATCCGCTTTTACCTTTCTCAATCGTTAAATGCGCTTCAAAAGAGAGTTTTTCGAGTTTTAGATCTTTATCACTAGAATCTTCAATAATTTTGGAGTCTGAAGATTAGAAAAAAATTATAAAAAAAAAAAAGGTAATAAGATCTTAAATATTATATTGCCATATACTGTACCTAAAATAATTGTCGAATTTGCATTGCTCATTATATTTGATTAACAAAATTTTAAATAAAAAGAATACTGAGAAACCAACGATTTTTTTTACATTTATACAAATATTAAAAAGATAATATGTAACTTGGCTTGTGTTTTAAATTCTTAATTTAGCCTAATTATCTAAAAATTTTGCTAGAGTTACAAACAAATCCGTTCTATAATTGGTACAGTAAGATAATTAACTGGTTTTTAGAATTAGACATTAAAGTTATTTAGTATGGAAGTACGTAAATATGGATATGATCTTTGGGTTACAGTGTGTATAAATCTTAACCTCGGCA